CTCTACCACGTAAAAATTATCTTTGGGCACTGCTTTTGCTATAGCTACAGCCAGGACCTCAATATTAACAATAAACCGATCTAACACGCTGTTCCATCTCTGCAACCGTTGTTGGGCAATCGGAGAAATACACTCTGTCCTTCACATAGCCCCACAAAAAGAAGTCCAAGGGCGTGAGGTCCAGAGAACGAGCAGGCCATAGCACCGGTCCCCCGCGGCCGATCCATCCTCGCGGAAAGCGAACGTGCAAGATGTTCTCGTACGTTGCGAGCAAAATGTGCCGGAACTCCATCATGCTAAAACACCATGTTTCTGTGGTTCTCAAAATAATCCCAGTCAGCCACAGGAAAGTCGTCAATCGCCTCTTCGAATTCCGTTTGTAAAAACGTTAGATAGTTGCTACCATTCAGACGTGATGGCATAATTACGAGACCGATGACATGCCCGTCATAAAGGCCAGCCCACACATTCAGCAGCCACTGGTGTTGGAATCTGCCCTGCCATGAAGCATGTGAATTCACGCGAGCCCAAACGTGATCGTTATGCATATTTGAAAGTCCTGACCTCGTGAATGTTGCCCCGTCCGTCCAAAGAACATAGTTTACATAATTAGGGTATCCCTCTGCCTGACAACTGCCTGAGGTACCACTCGCAGAAGTTCCTCCTGCATGCAAAATCGGAGGGTAATCTGTGTACGGCGATAGTGATAAAGGTGACGATTGTCGTCACAAAGAATTCGCCAAACTGCAACATGGCTTATACCGAATCTTGTTCCGGCTCGCCTCGAACTTGTGGTCGGCTCTTCTTCAAAATGCTCTAACACTAATTCAGACTGCCTGGCGTCGACTGTGCTTAGACGTCCACTTCCAGTAGACCGATGTAAAGAGCCGGTGGAATGTAGTCGTCTTGACATGTTCAGAAAACACTGGTACGAAGGCAGTCGTCGCTGTTCAGTGGGGGGTCTACCATCGATAAATGGTTGCCGATACAGTTCGCGAGCACGGTTTAAATTGCTATCTTCATGGCCTACGCATAAAATCATATCGTAATATTCCGAGTTAGAAAGCATCGTTATTTTCCAAAAAAATGTTGGTAAAAAAAACTCGAATAGAACTAGAATATCGATTAGAAGTTTAGAAAATTTGAAATTCACAACATATTTTTTTCCAACTTGACAGTTTTTGAAGCCAGTACTTGATAATAATGACTGCAATGGCGGCTGAAATGGTTAGGTACTGCCTTTCGGCCGCCATTACAGTTAGACGTACACGTCGACATGGTAAGTTAAATATTATAATATCACCTATTATTTCCTAGTTGCTGTCATCAAGCTGTATTATTTTAAAAGTTTTGTGTTTATTTAAGTGCTATGCGCTGTAATTTTTATCAAATAATCACATTATCAAGTATTTTTATAGGTGGTTAACTACTGGGACACACCTCGTACTGGGTTCCTATTGTTGACCAATTAGTTTGCAACTGGTTGCCTATAGAGTTTCTTATTTTTTTCCTTTTTTCTCACAGCGTTGCTTTTGTTTGACAATTTAGAGCCTTAGGCCAATTATTAAAATTGTTTTATACGGTGTGCATCAGTTGTTGACAACTGGTTTGCTATTGGTAAACATGAGTTTTAACTTTTTCTCGTTGTTTTAGATTGAAGATACCCCCAAAAAGATATTTTTAAATATACAGAGTTAAATCTGCTGAAGTGTCTCGATGAAATTCATAAAGGCGCTAAAATAAGGCCAACATGTCGAAAATATAATATCCCTCACCCATGAGACATTCTCAACGGAAAACGTGATCACCAACTATCTTGACTCCACAAGAATAGTTTCTATTAGCTAGGTGAATTAACGATAACGCTAAAAAGAATTGTTTATTGGAAACAGTTAGCCAAATAATAAGAGAAGACATCTTTAACTGATTTTGGACTTGGACTATCAATCCAACAGCCAGAAGAAAAGCCTACCCACACAAGATTTTTTATAGGATAAGGGTGACAAACGAGCCCAGAGTCCACCTGATGGTGTGTGGTTACTGTGGTCCATAGACATCTACATCTATCCTCTATTATGAATCAAAATGCAGATGCGTTGTCAATCGTAAGGACTAAGATGGAATGCCTCGTTTCCAGTAAAAAGGGTCTCCGGTTCTCTACACTCACCATATGAAACAGAAGCGTTGAGCTGATATTTTACGCTGGTAATCTGTGAGAGCGTGGTCCTTCCACGGTTGAGCTGACCCATTCGTGCTACAACTATACTTTTTGTTATAGGATAGGGTAACAAACGAGCACACAGTCCACCTAATGGTAAGTGGTTGCTGTAGCCCATAGACATCTACATCTATCCTCGTTTGCGAATCAAAATGCAAATGCGTTGTCACCCGTGAGGACTAAGATGGAATGTCACTTTTTCAGTAAAAAGGGTCTCCGGTTCTCTGCACTCACCATACGAAACACAGCAGTGTTAAGCTGCTATTTTACGCTGGTATTCTGTAAGAGCGTGGTCCTGCCCCGGACGAGCCGACCCATTCGTGCTACAATTATACTACTAATATAGCTGCAGCATGGCTCTATCACATGCAAGCATGGCTCTACCACGTGCAAAGTTACTTTTCTACGACTAAAAATGTTAAGAAAATATAGTAGTTGCCTCATAGGGGGGGGGGGGGGGGGGGGTATTTGTCATAGTTGCGATTGAGCAGATAATGGGCATCTATCACTTCTTTCACAACTTTTCGTTACAGACTTAACGTCTATAGATGTCCATTGCGGATCATAAGCCTCCTCCCATAGATTGCCTCATTGCACACCAATTTTCGTTGTTGACTTACCACGCATTCGAGCCAAACGGTTTGCTAACAAAGGAAAGGAAAAATTTGCCAGCATCTGTCTTTCCATCCGATTACAATGTGGGTGTCTTCAAGGCAAGAGTGAATAGGCTTTTGTTGTCAGTGCGTTTTACCATACCGTTTTCCGCTACATCACCATTTACCATCAGGTGGGATTGTAGTTAAGCGCTGGCTTAGAATAGTAAAAAAAAAACAATATTATAATTAAAATAAAATGAATAAAATTATTGAGACTTGCTTTTATTTTTCAAAGTAACTATGATATTAAACAATGAGACCGTTTCTCTATAATACATTCCTTTAAACATGGAAACCTTAAAAGATAGGAAATAACATTTCACACAAAATAGATCGGATATATAATCTATATTAAAATGGACAGAATGCATGTACTATCTATTGTGACAATAGTTCCGACATTACAAACGCAAAGTTAGGGCCGTTAAATCATTGTCACCAGACCTCTATCTATCTCGCTCTTACGAGATTTATTTTTTCATTAATTGCGGCATATGCTACAAGGCGCAAAGCTATATTACTTAATACACATGTTATAAATATGTTAACATTTTTTCTTTACAATACGTTGATGAATTCTTTCGATTGCGAAGTACCTGGTAGGGTTTGACAATAGTTTTTATTTTTTATAGGATCGGGTGACAAACGTTTAAAGTGGATTTGGTATGTAAAAGTAGTGTGATTTTTAAATGGCTGTTAGTGAACAATTAAAGAAAAAGATGAACCAAGCGCCGATGGTGATAAAAAGATATTTTATTGAGAGCACGTGTGCATAATAGGGTTTTGTTTCGCTAAGCTAGTGCAATTTACCATATTCGGCTACATTACCACATTCAATCAGGTGGGACAGCGGCCAAGCAATGGTCTATTTAATAAGTAAAAAAATAAAACTAGTAAAACAACAATATAAAATTAAAAATTTTGTACAGCCGACTTCAATATAAGTTATTAAGAATAACTGAAAAACTATTGGTCTGACCTTGATCACATTCATATGAGACCACACGAGAAGTACCAGCTTTCAAATAAAAAAAGTCATCGAAATCGGTTCACCCAGTAAAAAGTTATGAGGTAACACATAAAAAAACATACAGTCGAATTGAGTACCGTCTCCTTTTTGGAAGTCGGCAGTAAATGTTTTTAATCAGTTGCTATGGTGGCTTTAAAATGGCAGAATTGGTTAATCCCATGTAGTACGCGTATTTAGATTTTATATAATTGACGTTTACCATTTTGAAAATTTTGTGAGATAGAAGCGCTCAGACAAACAAGTGGTAAAATTAAGTTTTGTACAACCAACTTCAATATAAATAAAATGAGAACATCATCAATGTAGTCGAAGTCAAATAAATACACATAATAAGTATAAAACTACAGGTCAAATCTAGATCAAATTTATATGGGACCACGTGAGTAGCACCAGCTACCTAAATAAAAACCACCATCTACCACCATCAAATTAAAAAAGAATCATCAAAATCGGTTCACCTAGAAAAAAGTTCTGAGGCAACACATAAAAAAAATACAGTCGAATTGAGTACCACCTCCTTATTTGAAGGCGTTTAAAAAACCGCGCTCATGTTGCAACCCCATTCACTAATAACTTTGCGTTTGTAATCTCTATACTTTAGTATATATCTTAATTTTTTGCCCGAAAAGACATAAGAAGCATATCGTAGGCACGTAGGTACAGTGTTATGTTTTTATTTGTTTTTTAATCTGCTATAAGTATAAACATTTCTATTCTTGTACAAATTATCGTCACTATTTTTACTTTTTTTTTTCAGAATTGAATGAAACGCTTATGAGTCGTGCACTTTTGGGTTTTCCAAATTTATTTGTTTTCTTTTTTTTTTGTATTTAAGTTACGCGATATCTTCGATTATGATTTATATTCCTTACAAAGCATTTTTATTTTATTTTTTGTTGTTGTTTTGTGATTCGGGGAGACGACTTTAAATTTGGGAAGATATTTTAAGAATTTGGGTAGTTGTTAAAATCCTTAAGCGGCACAGGTTTGTTTTACTAAAAAACTATACCAAATTACAAAGACACGATAGTAATTAATATTTAAATGCTAAAACATGGCATATATTTATATACAAAGATAGTAATACAAAATATGTTCACATTACGTAGACTTTTTCGACACGCTTCATGCAAAATACCTCCTTAGTCTTCGGGCATATGATTGATCCGTGTTCCTTCATCATTTCCTTTAAAGCCTGCAATGGAAGGTAAATTTGCATTAGTTAAGGACTGTAATAGTATTAAATACAGAAGATTGCACTGCCGAAGTGAATTAAATTTGAAGTCAGAGTTAAGGAAAAATCTAGAAAAAAATTGTGAATTATATTATTATAATAAATACATTAGTTGCGTAAAAATGTGTGCTTGTTGGAGTGTGTCAGTGCGTATGTGTTGGAGTGCGTCAGTGCGTATGTGTTGGAGTGTGTTAATGTGCGCGTGTTGGTTTGCATCAGTGCATGCGTGTTGGAGTGCGTCAGTGCGTGCGTGTTGGAGTGCGCCAGTGCGTGCTGGAATGCGTCAGTGCGTGCGTGTTGGAGTGCGTCAGTGCGTGCGTGTTGGAGTGCGCCAGTGCGTGCTGGAATGCGTCAGTGCGTGCGTGTTGGAGTGCGTCAGTGCGTGCGTGTTGGAGTGCGCCAGTGCGTGCTGGAATGCGTCAGTGCGTGCGTGTTGGAGTGCGTCAGTGCGTGCATGTTGGAGTGCGTCAGTGTTTGCTTGTCGGAGTGTGTTAGAGCGCGCGTGTTGGAGTGCGTCAGTGCGTGCGTGTTGGAGTGCGCCAGTGCGTGCTGGAATGCGTCAGTGCGTGCGTGTTGGAGTGCGTCAGTGCGTGCGTGTTGGAGTGCGTCAGTGTGTTTGTCGGAGTGCGTCAGGGTGTGTTTGTTGGAGTGCGTCAGTGCGTACGTGTTTTAGTGTGTTAGTGCGCGCGTGTTGGATTGTATGAATGCGTGCGTGTTGGAGTGCGTTAGTGTGTATGTGCTGGAGTGCGTCAGTGTTTGCTTGTCGGAGTGTGTTAGAGCGGGCGTGTTGGAGTGCGTCAGTGCGTGCGTGTTGGAGTGCGCCAGTGCGTGCTGGAATGCGTCAGTGCGTGCGTGTTGGAGTGCGTCAGTGTGTTTGTCGGAGTGCGTCAGGGTGTGTTTGTTGGAGTGCGTCAGTGCGTACGTGTTTTAGTGTGTTAGTGCGCGCGTGTTGGATTGTATGAATGCGTGCGTGTTGGAGTGCGTTAGTGTGTATGTGCTGGAGTGCGTCAGTGTTTGCTTGTCGGAGTGTGTCAGAGCGCGCGTGTTGGAGTGCGTCAGTGCGTGCGTGTTGGAGTGCGTCAGTGTGTTTGTCGGAGTGCGTCAGGGTGTGTTTGTTGGAGTGCGTCAGTGCGTACGTGTTTTAGTGTGTTAGTGCGCGCGTGTTGGATTGTATGAATGCGTGCGTGTTGGAGTGCGTTAGTGTGTATGTGCTGGAGTGCGTCAGTGTTTGCTTGTCGGAGTGTGTTAGAGCGGGCGTGTTGGAGTGCGTCAGTGCGTGCGTGTTGGAGTGCGCCAGTGCGTGCTGGAATGCGTCAGTGCGTGCGTGTTGGAGTGCGTCAGTGCGTGCGTGTTGGAGTGCGTCAGTGTGTTTGTCGGAGTGCGTCAGGGTGTGTTTGTTGGAGTGCGTCAGTGCGTACGTGTTTTAGTGTGTTAGTGCGCGCGTGTTGGATTGTATGAATGCGTGCGTGTTGGAGTGCGTTAGTGTGTATGTGCTGGAGTGCGTCAGTGTTTGCTTGTCGGAGTGTGTCAGAGCGCGCGTGTTGGAGTGCGTCAGTGCGTGCGTGTTGGAGTGCGTCAGTGTGTTTGTCGGAGTGCGTCAGGGTGTGTTTGTTGGAGTGCGTCAGTGCGTACCTGTTTTAGTGTGTTAGTGCGCGCGTGTTGGATTGTATGAATGCGTGCGTGTTGGAGTGCGTTAGTGTGTATGTGCTGGAGTGCGTCAGTGTTTGCTTGTCGGAGTGTGTTAGAGCGGGCGTGTTGGAGTGCGTCAGTGCGTGCGTGTTGGAGTGCGCCAGTGCGTGCTGGAATGCGTCAGTGCGTGCGTGTTGGAGTGCGTCAGTGCGTGCGTGTTGGAGTGCGTCAGTGTTTGCTTGTCGGAGTGTGTCAGAGCGCGCGTGTTGGAGTGCGTCAGTGCGTGCGTGTTGGAGTGCGTCAGTGTGTTTGTCGGAGTGCGTCAGGGTGTGTTTGTTGGAGTGCGTCAGTGCGTACGTGTTTTAGTGTGTTAGTGCGCGCGTGTTGGATTGTATGAATGCGTGCGTGTTGGAGTGCGTTAGTGTGTAAGTGCTGGAGTGCGTCAGTGTTCGCTTGTCGGAGTGTGTTAGAGCGCGCGTGTTGGAGTGCGCCAGTGCGTGCTGGAATGCGTCAGTGCGTGCGTGTTGGAGTGCGTCAGTGTTTGCTTGTCGGAGTGTGTCAGAGCGCGCGTGTTGGAGTGCGTCAGTGCGTGCGTGTTGGAGTGCGTCAGTGTGTTTGTCGGAGTGCGTCAGGGTGTGTTTGTTGGAGTGCGTCAGTGCGTACGTGTTTTAGTGTGTTAGTGCGCGCGTGTTGGATTGTATGAATGCGTGCGTGTTGGAGTGCGTTAGTGTGTAAGTGCTGGAGTGCGTCAGTGTTCGCTTGTCGGAGTGTGTTAGAGCGCGCGTGTTGGAGTGCGCCAGTGCGTGCTGGAATGCGTCAGTGCGTGCGTGTTGGAGTGCGTCAGTGCGTGCGTGTTGGAGTGCGTCAGTGTTTGCTTGTCGGAGTGTGTTAGAGCGCGCGTGTTGGAGTGTGTCAGTGCGTGCGTGTTGGAGTGCGTTAGTGTGTATGTGCTGGGGTGCGTCAGTGTTTGCTTGTCGGGGTGTGTCAGTGCGTTAGTTAGGCAGGGTGCGCGCATGCGTAGTGCGTACCTTCTCGCCGTAGACCTGTCCGTTGGGCAGCGCCATGGGCTGGTTGTGCTCGTTGAGCGGCTCGTGCGAGATGCGGCACACGAGGCGCGAGTGCGAGCAGTGCGCGTGCGGCAGCGTGCGCGCGAGCGCGCTGAGCGGCGCGCAGCAGGCGGGGCAGCCGGCCGCCTGCGCGCTGCCGCCGGCGCACTGCGGCGTGTTGAGCGCCGCCAGCCCCAGCTGCAGCGCGGCGGGCAGCGCCGGGAGGCGCGCCGGGTGCAGCAGGCGCGCGTGCTCGGCGCGGAACTGCGCCACCAGCGCGCGCCAGCGCCCGCCCGCCAGCAGCGACCGGTACGGCTCCACCTCTGCGCCCACACCGCACAACACACGCCACATACAACAATATCTATGCTGAGGCTCCACCGGAAAACGATCATGCTCTCATAGGATTAGCGTAAAAGAGTAGCTTAATGTTGGTTATTTTATAATAACATAACCAACATTAAGCTACTCTTTTACGCTGGTATTCTGTAAGAGCGTGATCCTACTATTCAATACATAGTCCGTTCGCTTAGATACGATCACCCTTATGTTGCACTGCCTTGGCACTTGCCACATTTGGTCAAAGTTGCCGCCGCGACATCAAAATTCGCCGAGTATGGCATATACCCAAAAGAGAATTCAGCATTTCAAAATAAAGCACCGTAGTGAAAGTAACCTAACTTGTTTTTATTATTTATATTCGTGTTTTATTACAATAACCATATAAGGAAAATATTTAATTAACAAACACAATAAAAATAATAGTAATACCTAGTCAGATCATAAATTCTGTCACATGTTTAATATAAAATAATTGAAAAGTTTATTCATTATGTAACCATTTATATACCAAAATGAACTTAACAAAACATAGATTCCTATGACACTAAAGTTTATTCAAAATGACCTCCGTGATTTTAAATACAGGCCTTCAATCTGCGCGGCCAGTCGTCTAACGCAGCACGAACGAGGTCCATGTCAATATCGGCGGCTGCCTTAATCAAGGATGTCTTGAGTGATTCCAAATTGGGATGAAGCTTTGAGCACGCCTTTTCCTCCAAGTGTTGCCATATCTTGTAATCTAACGGATTCAAATCTGGACTGGAGGAGGACCAGTCTTCATGCCGGATGAAGTCGATTTCACGCGCCGCCAACCAGTCTTGTATGCTCTTCGCTCTATGAGCTGGCGCCGAATCTTGTTGGGATACCCAGTGCCTGTTATTGAACATGGTATGAGAAACAGGTTCCACAAGGTTCGTCAGGACTGTATTTTGATACACAACTGCATTCGTTTTTGCACCTTTCTCACAAAAATGTACCTCTGTTAAGCCCCAATAAAAAACTCCCAACCATACCATGAGCGAGGATGGAAAATGACCTCGTTGGACACGCGGAATACGGTTGCTCGCTTCTTCACTACTGTGTGCGTACACCTTATCATTTTGTTTATTGTAGCTCTCTTCTACGGTAAAAATTTTTTCATCCGAAAATATAATTTCCCGATATTTATTTCCCGCGTACCGCTTCAACAAAGCGCGGCATCTCTTCAGTCTCAGGTCCATTAGACGAGCATTCAAACGATGTCCTGTTTTTCTTCGATATGCCCGAAGCCCTTAGTCTTCATTTAACACCCTTTTCACCGTGGTTCTGCTTAACCCCATCTGAAGAGCCAACAGTTTCTGCTTACGTTTGGAATTTCTTTGAATTCGCGCCTTCACAGCTTTTATCACTGCTGGGGTCTTAATAGACCGAGAGCGACCACTTCTTGACCTGTCATCTACACTAGAGTCTTCATTGCGTCGTTTGATGGTACGATAAACGAATCTTTTGGTTATATTCAAATTTTTCAGTATGTCAAAAATTTGAATTGGCGCGTAACCGCAACGATGCAACGCAATAACTGCAACACGGTCTTCTTTAAGCGTCCACTCCATATTTAAAAATGAGTAAAATTCTAAAAAGTATACAGTTTTATTTTCATGAACAATTCGAAATTCGAATTCAATAAACTTTTTTGTGGCCAACATTCTAAAAGAAAAGTTTTTACTGTGTGACAATACTTATGACCTGACTAGGTATAATAAACACGCCTCCAAGTATACCAACACTATCTTAGCGAACAGACTTTACAGTATATGTGTATACTAAGCGTAGAGAACCGCAGGACTTACTGCTCTTAAACAAATACATCTAAATAAACTTCAAACAACATTAACAAAATGCGAACACAAATAATAAAAGCGTTTTCTTAGTACGAGGGTGACACCGAAACTTCTTAGAAAATAAAGAACTGAACAAACTAGCAAATTATTAGTTTTATTATATCTTTTCAAAATAGTGTCCCTTTACATCAAAACATAGCTGCATCCGACGGAACCTCCTCTCCTCGGAAGGAAACACCCCACCAGTAGACTGTCTCTTAGTTTCAGGATCATAACAATAAATTCAGCTTTCGTCACCCGTAAGTATCCTTCTCTGTCAAACTATGAGGTATCCACTGGGCACAAAGCTTCCTGACCGCTAAATTTTCATGGAAGATTTTGTGCACTTGACTCATACCGATGCCTATATAAGCTTGTTCGAAACTGCTGATAAGTCACTCTTTTATCAGTTTCTATCATACACCACACAACACTGATGTTATCTTCATTGAATGAAATTAATAAAATACATACACAATAATGTTGGTAGAGTTTCATTTTAAAAAATTTAACTTATTTTTTTTATTATATCGTTTACAAATTGCCAGTTCTGAAAAAGTTCAGTGTCGCCCTCGTAACATTAAAGAAATTTAGATTTCTTGTTGGTTCTTCCCAGGACTTACTTACGAAACCTAACTTAATGGTAAATAAAAAATGACTATCAATATATTAAATGAATATTAATTTATTAATCATTAAACAATAACTTCCATTAACTTGATACTGGCAAAAGTACAAAACGTACGAGTCCATGAATATAGGCAAAAGTGGCGATTTTAGCAAATTTCGGTGGTAGGTTCAGATATTACAAAAAGATTAACCTGTGTCTTTAGGAAAAGCCAGCATCCCCATGCAGTGCTGTATATCTTCAAGCTGTTCCTTCTCATAAGTAGAGAAGTGTTTCTTGGCGTAACGCACTGCCTCCAAACGTTTGTCTTCACGGACCAGCTCTATGAACTCCTGGAAAACAGTTGACGTCGTAAATGGGGGTACACAGGCTTTAAAATATATGAATTTTACAACCTTCATGAATGTGGCGGTGAAAAAAATCCTCTTCTTCCTAATAATATATTACCCACCTACCTATTATACCATCCTATGGTTATCGTGAGAGGCGACAGAGGAGCAGATGGGCTGGAGCTTTGTGATTACTCGAAAGGGTAAATGCGTGCACGACACGTTGCACGTTAGGTTGCTGACCTGTATGCGTATGTTGAACTCCATGGTGGAGCCGAGCTTGCGCAGCTTGGACTTGTTGTCGGCGCACCACTGCAGGCTAGGTTGCTGACCTGTATGCGTATGTTGAACTCCATGGTGGAGCCGAGCTTGCGCAGCTTGGACTTGTTGTCGGCGCACCACTGCAGGCTAGGTTGCTGACCTGTATGCGTATGTTGAACTCCATGGTGGAGCCGAGCTTGCGCAGCTTGGACTTGTTGTCGGCGCACCACTGCAGGCTAGGTTGCTGACCTGTATGCGTATGTTGAACTCCATGGTGGAGCCGAGCTTGCGCAGCTTGGACTTGTTGTCGGCGCACCACTGCAGGCTAGGTTGCTGACCTGTATGCGTATGTTGAACTCCATGGTGGAGCCGAGCTTGCGCAGCTTGGACTTGTTGTCGGCGCACCACTGCAGGCTAGGTTGCTGACCTGTATGCGTATGTTGAACTCCATGGTGGAGCCGAGCTTGCGCAGCTTGGACTTGTTGTCGGCGCACCACTGCAGGCTAGGTTGCTGACCTGTATGCGTATGTTGAACTCCATGGTGGAGCCGAGCTTGCGCAGCTTGGACTTGTTGTCGGCGCACCACTGCAGGCTAGGTTGCTGACCTGTATGCGTATGTTGAACTCCATGGTGGAGCCGAGCTTGCGCAGCTTGGACTTGTTGTCGGCGCACCACTGCAGGCTAGGTTGCTGACCTGTATGCGTATGTTGAACTCCATGGTGGAGCCGAGCTTGCGCAGCTTGGACTTGTTGTCGGCGCACCACTGCAGGCTAGGTTGCTGACCTGTATGCGTATGTTGAACTCCATGGTGGAGCCGAGCTTGCGCAGCTTGGACTTGTTGTCGGCGCACCACTGCAGGCTAGGTTGCTGACCTGTATGCGTATGTTGAACTCCATGGTGGAGCCGAGCTTGCGCAGCTTGGACTTGTTGTCGGCGCACCACTGCAGGCTAGGTTGCTGACCTGTATGCGTATGTTGAACTCCATGGTGGAGCCGAGCTTGCGCAGCTTGGACTTGTTGTCGGCGCACCACTGCAGGCTAGGTTGCTGACCTGTATGCGTATGTTGAACTCCATGGTGGAGCCGAGCTTGCGCAGCTTGGACTTGTTGTCGGCGCACCACTGCAGGCTAGGTTGCTGACCTGTATGCGTATGTTGAACTCCATGGTGGAGCCGAGCTTGCGCAGCTTGGACTTGTTGTCGGCGCACCACTGCAGGCTAGGTTGCTGACCTGTATGCGTATGTTGAACTCCATGGTGGAGCCGAGCTTGCGCAGCTTGGACTTGTTGTCGGCGCACCACTGCAGGCTAGGTTGCTGACCTGTATGCGTATGTTGAACTCCATGGTGGAGCCGAGCTTGCGCAGCTTGGACTTGTTGTCGGCGCACCACTGCAGGCTAGGTTGCTGACCTGTATGCGTATGTTGAACTCCATGGTGGAGCCGAGCTTGCGCAGCTTGGACTTGTTGTCGGCGCACCACTGCAGGCTAGGTTGCTGACCTGTATGCGTATGTTGAACTCCATGGTGGAGCCGAGCTTGCGCAGCTTGGACTTGTTGTCGGCGCACCACTGCAGGCTAGGTTGCTGACCTGTATGCGTATGTTGAACTCCATGGTGGAGCCGAGCTTGCGCAGCTTGGACTTGTTGTCGGCGCACCACTGCAGGCTAGGTTGCTGACCTGTATGCGTATGTTGAACTCCATGGTGGAGCCGAGCTTGCGCAGCTTGGACTTGTTGTCGGCGCACCACTGCAGGCTAGGTTGCTGACCTGTATGCGTATGTTGAACTCCATGGTGGAGCCGAGCTTGCGCAGCTTGGACTTGTTGTCGGCGCACCACTGCAGGCTAGGTTGCTGACCTGTATGCGTATGTTGAACTCCATGGTGGAGCCGAGCTTGCGCAGCTTGGACTTGTTGTCGGCGCACCACTGCAGGCTAGGTTGCTGACCTGTATGCGTATGTTGAACTCCATGGTGGAGCCGAGCTTGCGCAGCTTGGACTTGTTGTCGGCGCACCACTGCAGGCTAGGTTGCTGACCTGTATGCGTATGTTGAACTCCATGGTGGAGCCGAGCTTGCGCAGCTTGGACTTGTTGTCGGCGCACCACTGCAGGCTAGGTTGCTGACCTGTATGCGTATGTTGAACTCCATGGTGGAGCCGAGCTTGCGCAGCTTGGACTTGTTGTCGGCGCACCACTGCAGGCTAGGTTGCTGACCTGTATGCGTATGTTGAACTCCATGGTGGAGCCGAGCTTGCGCAGCTTGGACTTGTTGTCGGCGCACCACTGCAGGCTAGGTTGCTGACCTGTATGCGTATGTTGAACTCCATGGTGGAGCCGAGCTTGCGCAGCTTGGACTTGTTGTCGGCGCACCACTGCAGGCTAGGTTGCTGACCTGTATGCGTATGTTGAACTCCATGGTGGAGCCGAGCTTGCGCAGCTTGGACTTGTTGTCGGCGCACCACTGCAGGCTAGGTTGCTGACCTGTATGCGTATGTTGAACTCCATGGTGGAGCCGAGCTTGCGCAGCTTGGACTTGTTGTCGGCGCACCACTGCAGGCTAGGTTGCTGACCTGTATGCGTATGTTGAACTCCATGGTGGAGCCGAGCTTGCGCAGCTTGGACTTGTTGTCGGCGCACCACTGCAGGCTAGGTTGCTGACCTGTATGCGTATGTTGAACTCCATGGTGGAGCCGAGCTTGCGCAGCTTGGACTTGTTGTCGGCGCACCACTGCAGGCTAGGTTGCTGACCTGTATGCGTATGTTGAACTCCATGGTGGAGCCGAGCTTGCGCAGCTTGGACTTGTTGTCGGCGCACCACTGCAGGCTAGGTTGCTGACCTGTATGCGTATGTTGAACTCCATGGTGGAGCCGAGCTTGCGCAGCTTGGACTTGTTGTCGGCGCACCACTGCAGGCTAGGTTGCTGACCTGTATGCGTATGTTGAACTCCATGGTGGAGCCGAGCTTGCGCAGCTTGGACTTGTTGTCGGCGCACCACTGCAGGCTAGGTTGCTGACCTGTATGCGTATGTTGAACTCCATGGTGGAGCCGAGCTTGCGCAGCTTGGACTTGTTGTCGGCGCACCACTGCAGGCTAGGTTGCTGACCTGTATGCGTATGTTGAACTCCATGGTGGAGCCGAGATTGCGCAGCTTGGACTTGTTGTCGGCGCACCACTGCAGGCTAGGTTGCTGACCTGTATGCGTATGTTGAACTCCATGGTGGAGCCGAGCTTGCGCAGCTTGGACTTGTTGTCGGCGCACCACTGCAGGCTAGGTTGCTGACCTGTATGCGTATGTTGAACTCCATGGTGGAGCCGAGCTTGCGCAGCTTGGACTTGTTGTCGGCGCACCACTGCAGGCTAGGTTGCTGACCTGTATGCGTATGTTGAACTCCATGGTGGAGCCGAGCTTGCGCAGCTTGGACTTGTTGTCGGCGCACCACTGCAGGCTAGGTTGCTGACCTGTATGCGTATGTTGAACTCCATGGTGGAGCCGAGCTTGCGCAGCTTGGACTTGTTGTCGGCGCACCACTGCAGGCCAGGTTGCTGACCTGTATGCGTATGTTGAACTCCATGGTGGAGCCGAGCTTGCGCAGCTTGGACTTGTTGTCGGCGCACCACTGCAGGCCAGGTTGCTGACCTGTATGCGTATGTTGAACTCCATGGTGGAGCCGAGCTTGCGCAGCTTGGACTTGTTGTCGGCGCACCACTGCAGGCCAGGTTGCTGACCTGTATGCGTATGTTGAACTCCATGGTGGAGCCGAGCTTGCGCAGCTTGGACTTGTTGTCGGCGCACCACTGCAGGCTAGGTTGCTGACCTGTATGCGTATGTTGAACTCCATGGTGGAGCCGAGCTTGCGCAGCTTGGACTTGTTGTCGGCGCACCACTGCAGGCTAGGTTGCTGACCTGTATGCGTATGTTGAACTCCATGGTGGAGCCGAGCTTGCGCAGCTTGGACTTGTTGTCGGCGCACCACTGCAGGCTAGGTTGCTGACCTGTATGCGTATGTTGAACTCCATGGTGGAGCCGAGCTTGCGCAGCTTGGACTTGTTGTCGGCGCACCACTGCAGGCTAGGTTGCTGACCTGTATGCGTATGTTGAACTCCATGGTGGAGCCGAGCTTGCGCAGCTTGGACTTGTTGTCGGCGCACCACTGCAGGCTAGGTTGCTGACCTGTATGCGTATGTTGAACTCCATGGTGGAGCCGAGCTTGCGCAGCTTGGACTTGTTGTCGGCGCACCACTGCAGGCTAGGTTGCTGACCTGTATGCGTATGTTGAACTCCATGGTGGAGCCGAGCTTGCGCAGCTTGGACTTGTTGTCGGCGCACCACTGCAGGCTAGGTTGCTGACCTGTATGCGTATGTTGAACTCCATGGTGGAGCCGAGCTTGCGCAGCTTGGACTTGTTGTCGGCGCACCACTGCAGGCTAGGTTGCTGACCTGTATGCGTATGTTGAACTCCATGGTGGAGCCGAGCTTGCGCAGCTTGGACTTGTTGTCGGCGCACCACTGCAGGCAGCGCGCCGTGCGCCGCGCCGCCAGCTCGCGCTCCACCTCGGCCGCCGCCTGGTAGATGTCTGCGGGTCACGCGGAATACTTTATACCTTACTAACTCTGTACAGCTATGCCGTGCTGGCGACCTAAGAGAAACTATAACCTAATTTTGTCCCGTGAGTATAATCAACGGCGACACTGAATAATATCATGCATTCAACATGGTAGAGCTATTCTGCAGCTATATTATGATTGTAGAATAGGTCGGTTCGACCGGGGAAGGACCACGTGATCACGTTGAACAGCGTGAAATCGCAACTTAAAGCTGCTATATTTTGTATAATAAGTGGAGATTCGAAGACCCTTTTTACTTGCAACGAGGCACTCCATCTTAGTCCTAGGGAGTAACAACGTATCTGCGTTTTTATTTTTAATAGTGGATAGATATAGGGTTCTATGACGCGACAGAGGAAAACAAATTAGATGGGCAGCAGTGTCTTCCTAATAACGACTCAAAATAAAAAAAACTGGGGTTAACAACCTGCTTGCCAAGCGTGGCAACTATGGTAAATATCCACTCTATAAGGCAATCTATGGGTTAGGCCTATGTTCACCAGTGGTATTTAATAGGCTGTAATCTTAGACTATTTATAAGCAAGCTATAGAGCGCGTGTTATGACTAGCGTATCTCGAAATGGCAAAGTCGACATTATCAGTCACGAAAGGTCACGCGCGTAAATTATTTCTCCCGACGGTATTTATTTGAATTTTAAGCTACCTTGGTGAAATGTGCAGTACCAAGCTGCAAAATCGATTCACGGAAGCAAACTAAGAACAAGAATGATATTTCTTTTCATCGGTAATATTTCGATAAAAAAACACTGATTTTAACAAAATTACTTAGGGTGTCAAATGGTGTAGCGGAAGGCGCACGGCCGGGGCGACACAGCACGTGCCCCGCGCCTCGGGTTGTCCCCGAATTAGAGCTATACTAGAATTATTTTGTCCGTGCAGTTTGGGTCATAAATCATCGGCGTATTTCGCTCTCTCTCCCGTCCGAATTTAGTTTTGTAACTATGTGTTAGTGATAAAAATGAAAAAAAAAATATAGATAAAACAACGCATTTATTAAAATAAGAATAATAATGGTTTAAAATAAATTATTAATTAGGTGTCTATGTATTAAAAAAACTATAAGTAAAAATGTTTGGAATGTAACAAGTTATATTAAAAATAAATATAAAGATAATAACTTATATCTAAAATTAAGTCTAAAACTATTTACATTAAAATTCTTCATCAGAATCATCAGATTCATCGTCATCCATCATGAATTACGATATCTTCTGCCAGATGAGATTTCTTCAAGTCTTCCTGTTGGAGTTTTTCTGCATTCTTCACACAATCTTCCCAATTCGTTTGCGAAACGTTTGAAATTGCTTCATGCAGTAACACTTAGACGTGTGCAATTTTAAAAGTGCTGTTTTTGGTGGCAACTTCATTTTTTGCTTGAGCCCATACCAACTCAATTGGGTTATATTGGCAATGGTAAGGTGGTAAGCGAATCACTTCGTGTCCTGACTCCAAAACTAACTGATTTTACCAATTAGTCTGCCCCCCTTTCCCGTTTTTTTGTTTAAGCCGCCTTGTCCATTCTTGTCTAGCCAAATTCGTTTGTGGCTGTGATTTTGGTTCACCCAAGTCTCATGTAAATAAATTCTTGTTCGAGTGTCTTCACTATCTCAGTTTCTCGAGAGTTTTCTCAGGAATTGTAGCCGCGCAAAAACGATGTCAGTCCTTTCCATCAATTGTTTACGAGCATCTGGAGCTTGTGTCTTGTACCCAAGTTCTATGAGTGTTTTACGCATAGAAGAAATAGAACACTGGAGTCCGTCAATTTTTTTTTGTTGTACTCAAAATTTTTGCCGTGGAAGGATATTCACCGTCGCGATAAAACGATGACACTATTTGTTTAATTACACTTCAAAGTCAAAGTCGTCTAACGCAGTTACTGTACAAGGCCGATAGACGCTTTTTCGCGGAGAGATAACTTCTCGCTTTATACACTCTTTTTTAATTTTGTCGACTGCTCTAACACTCACACCACATATCGCCGCAGCAAGTTCACGAGAATGGCAGAAATTAACAATTTGTAACTTTTCGGGATCTATTTTCATTTCAGTGAAAAATGTTAAAACATTGTTGATAACAACACGCGCTGGTGCTGGTATATTGGTGCCAACAGGCAAAATATTATTTTTAATAAATTCTGCCGTTTTGGTACAAAATAAAGGGGTATCCATTGTGTCACTAAAGAAATTCAGAGAGCCAATACGCAAAAAAAAATTTCTCTTCTATTTATGTACCAAATTATCATTGCACTAATTTGCAGGTATTAGGCGGGGGTAATAATGAAAAACAAATGACTCATAACATAACAATGTCGCACCACCCTTTGTAAACCGCACCGCCGCCTTGTACCTGCCTTCGATGATTCATTTGTTGTTATCGATAATGGCGTTGCGCCCGCGCAACATGCTCACCGCCCTAGCCAGGCTGAGACCGAGCTGTGATTTATGACCCCAACTGCACGGACAAAATTATTTTACTATAGTGCTGTGCCACGTTATACTCGAATAATTATTAATAGTATGATTTCTTTCGTAATAATTATAATATTATTATAGTATTAGAAGTTCAGGTCCTTGTATTCCTAATCCATATGGATCATTTTGAAAAGCCGTGAATTGGCAAATAAATAGGTGGTAACAATAAAAAGTGTAACAATAATTTTTGATGCATATTTAGTGAGAGGGCTCTAATGCAATTATGCTTTCATTTAAACTATTTTGTTAACTCATTTCCTTATCAAATATAGTTAGTGGATAGCTGTTATTGGCCGCATTTTCTAAAATTATTTGTAAAATTTATTTGTTATAATATTCTAAGGCTGTTGTGTATATTATATTATCCTAAAACTGGGAGCCCAACGTCAGGAATTTCGTTTGTTTCTTTCAAAATGAAACTTAGTGCTTCGTACATTTTTGAAAGCAAGGTTGGACTGAGCAAACTGGTTGGAGGTGTAATACCAGTGCTTAAATTTTAAAGTAAGATTTTGGATACCTAAATTTTTAAAGTCATTATAAGGACATCATTAAATACAACGGGTTGTAGTCCACATTTTTTATTTTTATTTGGAAATCATTCTTGAACTCCCAATAATTATATATATATATATATATATATATTATATACCCTTTATATAAGGTATTTAGATCAACGTTAACCCATAAGATCGACTCTTTAAGCTTGGAATAGTTAAAAAAATATATTTAGTTAGTGTTTTGCCAAGGCTGTCCAAGCGAACTTCTGTCAGCCACCTCTTCCATCTCTTCATAGGGAGGACGTCTCACTATCCTTTGCCACAAAGGAGTCAACTCTCGATGTTGGGAGGTACACATCGTCAACCATCCCAGAGTGTGATTGCTCTATATGTGCGGTTTACATAGCGCTCAGTGAGCAAAGCACTCCTCTCCCAGGACTTCAACGTTGTCCTAATGGAGTCCTGTTATTGTACTGAAGAGCTCCGAAGTTAGCAACAGTTCTAACGCGTCCTTTACGGTACTGTTAATCTCTAGGCGGTAATCCTGAACTCATGGAAAACAGTTTTAGTGCACCCGATCCCTAAGACGGCGACCGCTCGGACCCGTCTAACTACAGGCTTATCGCCACCTCCTTCTTGTTCTCCCGAAATAATGGAATCCATTATAAACTGCCAGCTCATAAGGTGCATTGAGGACCACCAGATAATTAGTGACCGCCAATGCGTTTTCATTGGGGTCTTCAGCTTCTAATTTACCTGATTCATAGATAAGAGGAGACTATAGAGTCCAATAGGGAGACCTTGGTCGTTTCTTCAGACATAGCGAAGACCATCGATGAGCTTTCTTCTTACGGGCTTCTTCTAGCTAATCTTTCGTTTCGGACACTGATTGGCTTGGGCCGCTAGATCTAACCACTTTGTTGAACACTTACGATTGTCGCGTATAGTATAATATCTATAATCACAGCGCAAGTCTATTCGACTCAAAATTGCCTACTTTCTATGTCAATTCAGCAATAAGGCGCAAGTTTGGACGCGAACCTCTCGCTCAGTGTCGCTCAGTTCGTCATTTATCGAGCTTCTCTATTTCTTTTATGTTATTTGCCGCAAACTCACACCAACAAAGAAATAAAGAGCTACGTACGTGTCGAGTGACGCAAACCTGTGTGCCAACATCTGCATGTGTATAATATACTGGTAACTAATTGAGCTCTGCGACCAATGAACCAAACTTTACGATCAATGACAAAAATTTCACAATAATAATGAAAAACAGCTTTACTAGAATATATCGACTATGCGCTAGTGGGTCGGAAAGTAAGGCAAATTATATAAGTATAATTGTGCCGGATTAACCTGTAGTGGCGGTGTAAGAATCTGGATATTCATTACCCGATATCATCACGTGTCGTAAGAGACGACAGGGAAAACTGGAATATTGTGATGGGCAGCAGCATCTTTCTTATAACAAACTCAAAATAATAAAAAACTGTGGAAAACAACCCTTTTGCCAAGCGTGGCAACTATGGCAAACTCCTCCCAAAATTTATGGGCGAGGCCTAAGTTCAGCAGTGGATTTTTATATGGAATGGTGACGACAATTGGATACCCTTTTTAATAATATCGAGGTATTACATCTTAGTCCTCAGGGGTGACTACGCATCTGCATTTTCATTCTTAATCGAGGACGAGGACTCTCCGCAGCCCGGTGTAACCTGGTAATACTTTGTTACAGTTATAAGTTCATGACGTATATTCATTACCTATTTCTATATTAAATTAAAGTTAATTTTTTTCTAAACACGATGGAACACTGCCTATGTTAAAGTGGTCGCAAATAAGGGTAACTAGATGTTAAAGATAGATTAAAGTGAAAGAGAATTAGCGCCCCTAAGCGACACTCGCCATTACAAGACGTTTTCATAATATTTATTAACTCTCGCTGAACCGACTTTAAGTATACATAATTTGCTAAAATCGTTTTAAGTAAAGATTTTTTTATAGGATAGGGTGACAAACGAGCACACAGACCACCTGATGGTAAGTCTATGGGCCACAGCAACCACTTACCATCAGGTGGACTATGTTCGTTTGTCACCCTATTCTATAAAAAAAAGTGGTTGCTGTGGCGCAGTGACATCTGCATCTATCCTCGTTTGCGAATCAAAACGCAAATGCGTTGTCACCCGTGAGGACTAAGATGGAATGCCGCTTTTCCAGTAAAAAGGGTCTCCGGTTCTCTACACTCACCATACGAAACACAGCAGTGTTAAGCTGCTATGTTACGCTGGTATTCTGTGAGAGCGTGTCCTTCCCCGGTCAAGCCGACCCATTCGTGCTACAACTATACTACTAATATAGGTGCAGCATGACTCTACCACGTATAAAATGATTTAATAAAATGTAAAAAATATTTAACACATACAAGATTAGCTTACCAACATTGGTCAATTCCCTCAGATTCTTGGCATCGGCAAGCTTGTTGGCCGAGTCATAGTATCCATTCCTCAGGAAATAATCCACGAGCATACGATCGAGGCGCACCTTGCGCCAGTGATTCAAAGACGTCTAAAACGGTCAAGAATTTTATTTAATAATAACAGCTGAATTAGAAAACTCTTACATGTTGACATGTTACATGAACAAGAGTACAATTTATAACAAATAAACACTAAATCTATTGCTAAAGAATACACTGAGGGCAAAATATTTAAGACAAATAACAGGTACAGCTAGCAGGATAAGTTGCACTACCCTCATTTAGCAAAATACCTTTGGAACAATTTTGCATTGTTATTCCACTAAAAGTGTGACAGTTGATGTATGGAGTATATGTCGTAATCCACCCTTTTACCTTTTTCTACCAATAAGCAACAAAACACCTACTGCTGAAAACAGCAGTTGGCAAAGTTTTTTTTTTTTTTCAATTTATTAAACTTCGGACCACAAACAAGTTCACAATTATCAAGTTATCTAATGTAATTACTACACATTTTTTATTATTATGAACTCAGCAACGCTGGTCACTAACTTAAGTATTATAGTTTTTAAAGATAGATGAAGCTTGTTACATAGTATACATTGACAATGTTTTGTTATTTTTAAATAAGAAACTTATTATCGACTAACAAGTATTGTAGGATTATTGTAGGATATATTACACCACTGCTTTGTTTGAACACTAAGGCCGGCCACATACATACGGAATTCCGTTTCGATATTCCGATTCGGAACGCAACAAGTCCATATAAAATCAAGGACCCGTACGAACACGAACGGTAATTTTCCGTATGGAACTTTATCCGATTCGAGATTCCGTATGACCGCCTATGCGTTCGGAATCCCGAATGGAAAAAAGCCGCTCCGAACGCAAGTCTTCCATAGATTTTGTATGAGTCGCAACACACATTCGTAAATTCCGTACGGAACGCGCTCAGTATTTGTCGCACGACCGAAGCGAGTAGGTGTGTTTATGTACGCTTTTACATTTAATCTTATATGTGTATAGCTTTTCGTAACCTTTCATCTCATTTTGTTTAATAATTCGTCGAAAGGGTTTACAGACATCCATATTATTTAAAAAATATCTCTGGATAGATAGATATTTTTACATAATATTAACTATATTGCAAGCTTAGGGTGATAAGGGGATGCACCCAGTAACAATGATACAGCAACAATGGAATCACAATCAGAAAATTGTCGCCATTATTCCTTGGCAGAATGTCTAGATTCAATGGCTAACGCTTCTCAACTGAGCCTTGTTATTCCGAACGGAAATAAACGTATGTGTGATGTATTCACGGAATCCCGAATCGGGATTCCGAAACGGAATCACGAAACGGAATTCCGTATGTATGTGGCCGGCCTAAGTGTAAGAGGGCCATAGTGTAATTAACGAATATGAGACATTATATCTTAGTCTTTAAGGGTGGTAACGCACTTGTACTTCTTTTTTTTTTATAAAACTGAAGTGACAAAACAAACTTACAGTCCACCCAATGGTAAGTGCCTACTGCCGTCCATGTACACTACAGCTAACTTCAAACAAAGAATGCTACAGATACACTATCAACTCTGATGATATAATTACGACGGGAACACAGCAAATGCAATCACTGCTAATTGGCGGCAGAAATAGGTAGGAGGGTGGCACCTACACAGACTTCTAGGCAGAGAAAGAGTCCTACCACTTAGGAAAGTCTTTCTTTTAGAGTTGGCTGCAGAAAGCTGCAACTGCACACGCTGTAGTAGCCACTTAAATAAAGTGGGACGCAAGCTTAGATCTCCCTAATTACATACATTTTTTTATATCTCACTTATCAAAAGAGAAATTATTCATATACTTTTTTAATGTAATTCGAAAACAATAGCCAATTGCCTACAGTCACAACCTTTGAATATTTCATTTGCTTTTATAGCAGTTATAACAGGGTTATTACAACCAATGGGTTTTTTCATAGAAACGAAATGAGCTTGCGGCTCACCTAATACTAAGTGACTACCGCCGCCTAAGAACAACTGCGACACCAGGGGAATTGCAGGTGCGTTGCCGGCCTTTTAGAGAGGGGTAAGCTCTTTTCTTGAGGGTCCCTAAGTCATACCGGAATAATCGCTGGTGGTAAACGATTTCACAAAGAATTCGTACGAAGCAGAAAACTCCTAGCAAAACTCGTGGACTGTAGTGAAGACGTAGCAATCTTGACCTCGTAAATAATATTAACACCCGAGTTCTGGTCAAGTACTGATTTACCATAATTATGTTCTTTAGTAAAAGTAAACAACGTGAAACCTGAATGTCGGAGAAATAAACAATCTTTTGATATGTTAAGACCACCTACCCGAACTGGAGCTGCGTGGCGAACTCTCATCGGCTCCGTTTCCCTCTGTAAATTGAGAAGAGGGTTTTTCCTACAGTGGCATATGATTTGTCCGCAACACGCAACACAACTCTCGCTAAATGTCCAACTATAGAGGCTTTGTGTAAATTATCTAAAAACTTTCGGATTATCGGACCGTATATATAATCTGAATTTAAAATGATCGAAGACAGTGAGGATCTTTACATACACCTTAAATTAGAATAGATTAAAATGAAATTCTTAAATATATACTCAGCGAAATTTACGTGGCTTTTTTTATCACTTTTAAAAGGCAGTCTAAAGAAAGAAGACCAAAGGGCTAAACACTAGTTACAGATTACTATACAATAATTAGGTTACCTTTATAGATGTTTTCAAATTTTTATAGAATTAATCAATTTGGTCATATCGCTACAAGATAATTTAAATCCCATAATATGTCTACTCGAAATTTCTTATGCATTCTGCTGCTTTGTTCGAACTATCAAAAGACATTCATTATCGTTTTAACACTAAGCTCGAAGACATCAAGCCGCACAACAGAGATTTTTTTTTTATTTCACATTAACATCAAATTCATACCTAATTCAAATATAGAACTAGTCTAAAAATTCTAACAGATTAGTTTTAGAAGTACCAAGTAAAATACAATGAGTTGAGGAGTACAACTATGAATATTATAATCGTTACCGTCATTACAGCTCATCACAAGTGCACTGCTAAACATAATGCTGCCCCAAATAATGCCACAGATCGACACTTCACTTACCGGTATACATACGGCTTGCACTTGGGAACATTTCTTCCCTAGTGTATTCAAAAATATTTTTACTTACTTGTGCAGAAGTGGGGTCCTGCAAAGCTTCAGCCTGCTCTTTGAGGTGCTCGAGCCGTTTCTTGCAGACATAAGCCGCTTGCACTTCTTCATTGATAGCTTCGGATGCCTTGCGTTTCATTGTTGTCAGCTTCTCCACCTACAACAGAATGACAACATAACATTAAAAGATAGTTATAAAATGAATAGTGTTCGACTGAAGCATCAGTTTCGGTTAAAAAAAACCGCATTCGGCCAAAAATACCACTTTCGGCTATGGCCAAACTGGGCCCGAAGTTTTGGCCGAAACTAAAGGTTTCTACTAAGCGTCGAAATTGAACGAACTGTTACGAAAAAGCGGGAACGCGCCGGACATGGCGAAGCGCATGGGGTCACACTGCGTTGTGGACTTGCGCCGACCCGCCAAGTGTAGTATTCATACTTCATAGTATAATATATTATTAATTTTAGCCGATCTTGATAGGGTTTTTAAACTTTCGGCTTCGGCCGAAGGTTGTGGCTTCCGTCTTCGGTCGGACAATAAAAACAAGGTTTCAAATGAACACACACACACACACACACACACACACACACACACACACACACACACACACACACACACACACAAACACACAAACACACAAACACACACACACACACACACACACACACACACACACACACACACACACACACACAAACACACACACGCGCGCACGCGCACACACGCGCACGCACGTACACACGCACACACGCGCGCGCGCTCGTTTGAGTGACCCACATAGTTTTCTCAACAAAAGTTTTCAACTATAACACTGTATCAATTTACAATGTCCTTGTTACCACCCATCATTTTTTTCAACTGCAATGCCATTTATCGGCAGCTACCAGAAATCTACCTTACTAGTTTACTTCGCAAACTTCGTTACAATTATATATCTCTGTAATAAAATCCTTGGATGTGTGATTGAAAATTAGTCTTTCCATTTCCCCATCGCATCAAATACTGGCCAAACAATATCAACAACTTCTTTTTCTGCAGTTGTCATAAGTGGAAACAGTCTGATGGATTAGGGATTTAGAAATTCCTTGCATTAGAAAGGATTTGCCATAATCGCCTTGTTGAGCAGGTGAATTGTTCCCATTATTGCGTGTTGAGACTTTATGATATCTCTGATTCCATCACTGACTCACATATTTTAAATCTACAAGATGTCTTGTTCGGAGGTTAGACCCTAACATTGTTTTTCTACCGACTTCTAAAAGGCAGGGGTATTCAATTCAACTGTATGTTTTTTTTTTGTGTGTTACCTAATAACTTTTTTCTTGGTGAACCGATTTCGATAATTCTTTTTTTTATTTGAAAGCTGGTGCTTCTATATAAGATCATTGATCAAGGTCTGACCGGTAGTTTTTGAGTTATCTTTAATAATTTATATTGAAGTCGGTTGTACAAAATTTTTAATTTTACCACATTGTTGTCCAGTTTCTCTACTAAAAATTGATCCCTTTTACTTCATCAAAGATACAAAATACTATTGCATAGGTCAAGGTTATGCTTACAACTCCATCCTCTACCTTTATTCAATACAAGCGTCGGTAGCCTAATGGCAGGGCGCGAACCGCGAACTTAAAAGGTCGTGGGTTCGAACACGCCATTCGACTACTGTCGTGAACCACTTCTAATACAAGCATTTTAAGCTTACGACAAGTGGTTAAAGGGAATATTAGTAATGTTTAATAGCATTACTAATTTTTTTTAAATACCATAGACATTCTATAAGTCTTACTACATTTCATGCATACAATAATATCATCACAAACTGAATTTTTATCTAATAAAACCAAGCATTAGTATAAATAGGCTGCGATTTTTCCATATGGAACATACAATTTTCTTTCATATTAAAGTGATTATAATTTTATTACTAACCATTCCTCCAAGTAAGGAGTCGATTTCTCCGGTAGTGACACCACTTTTCCTCGCAGAAGTGTCCAAGTCTCCAGCCGCACTGCCCACCTGCCGTGCCTCAACATCCAGAATACGCTGAGCGTTTCGGTATTTCTTGTTGAATACTTCATACGGCACCTAAAGTGATGTGGTATATATACATTACGCAATAGGCTAGTAGTTACAGCTTTTTTTAATAGAATAAAGGTGACACATAAACGGCACACAACCCACCTGATGTCCATGTATTGTAATTAAGAATCGAAATGCAGTTGCGTCGTTACCCCCTAGGAATACAGGTCTGTTAAGCTGGAATGGTCATTTGAGCAAAATCACTTAAATTTTTGCTAAATATTTAGTGCTCATTTAGTGCTAATTTAGTGCTGCAAATTTAAATTTCACGCCAAAATAGCTTGAGCAAAAATTAGAAAACTGCTAGCTTTTAATTAAGCTAGCAGTGTTCTACCTATTAAAACGATAACCGCTTAATACAGCACCAAATAGAAGCATCAATAATTTAGTGCTCATTTAGTGCTACCGATATACGCAAAAACAAATATTGGGAAAACATATATTTTTTTAATATCATAAATTCTGTTACTTTGACATCTTTAGCAGAGTATGTACAGAAAAAATTGACATCCAAGTGGATTATCACCTAATGATATGAGATAATAATTTAGTGCTCATTTAGTGCTGCTGATATACGAAAAATCAAATATTGGGAAAATTTGTATTTTTTTTAATATCATAAATTCTGCTACTTTGACGTCTTTAGCACAGTATGTAATGAAAAAATTGACACCAGAGTGGGCTATCACCTAATTATATAAGATAATAAATTGGTGCTCATTTAGTGCTGTCGAATTACGAAAAAGGATTTGAGAAATTATTATTTTTAAATACCGTAAACTGCTACTTTGACATCTTTAGCAGAGTATGTGATGAAACAATGACATCCAAGTGAATTATCACTTAATGATATAAGATAATAAGTTAGTGCTCGTTTAATGCTGTTTCGATATATGAAAAAGGATTTGAGATATAATTTTTTTTAAATACCGTAAACTGCTACCTTGGCATATTTAGCAGCGTATGTACTGAAAAAATTGACATCTAAATTTCCCAAATCCTTTTTCATATATCAACAGCACTAAATGAGCACTAATTTATTATCTTATATCATTATGTGATAGCCCACTCTGATGTCAATTTTTTCATTACATACTCTGCTAAAGATGTCAAAGTAGCTGAGTTTATGGAAATAAAAAAAAATATATTTTCCCAAGTTTTGTTTTTGCGTATATCGGCAGCAATCAATGAGCACTAAATTATTATGGTATGTATAGGTTATATACTGTATAGGTGATAGGTCATTAGGTGATAACTCACTTGGATGTCAATGTATCATCACATACTCTGCTAAAGATGTCAAAGTACCTGTTAACGGTATTTAACAATAATAATTTCCCAAATCGATTTTCGTATATCGGCAGCACTAAATGAGCACTAAATGATTATCTCATATCATTAGGTGATAATCCACTTGGATGTCAATTTGTTCATTACATACTATGTTAAAGATGTCAAAGAAGCAGTTTACGGTATTTAAAAATAATAATTTCCCAAATCGATTTTCGTATATCGACAGCACTAAATGAGCACTAATTTATTATCTTATATCATTATGTGATAGCCCACTCTGATGTCAATTTTTTCATTACATACTCTGCTAAAGATGTCAAAGTAGCAGAGTTTATGGAAATAAAAAAAAAAAATATTTTCCTAAGTTTTGTTTTTGCGTATATCGGCAGCACTCAATGAGCACTAAATTATTATCGTACATCATTAGATGATAACTCACTTGGATGTCAATGTATCATCACATACTCTGCTAAAGATGTCAAAGTAGCAGTTAACGGTATTTAAAAATAATAATTTCCCAAATCCTTTTCCGTATATCGACATCACTAAATGAGCACTAATTTATTATCTTATATCATTATGTGATAGCCCACTCTGATGTAATTTTTTCATTATACTCTACTAATGATGTCAAAGTAGCAGAGTTTATGATATTAAAAAAAATAGTTTCCCAAGTTTTGTTTTTGCGTATATCGGCAGCACTAAATAAGCACTAAATTATTATCTCACATCATTAGGTGATAATCCACTTGGATGTCAATTTGTTCATTACATACTCTGCTAAAGATGTCAAAGTAGCAGAATTTATGATATTTTGATCAAGCTATTTTGGCGTGAAATTTAAATTTGCAGCACTAAATTAGCACTAAATGAGCACTAAATATTTAGCAAAAATTTAAGTGATTTTGCCCAAATGACCATTCCAGCTTAACAGACCTTAGGAATACGATGAAATGCCTCGTTTCCAGTAAAAAGGGTCTCCGATTCTCTACACTCACCACAAGAAACACAGCAGCATTAAGTTGCGATTCTGTGTGGGCGTGGTCCTACTCAGGTTGAGCCGACCCATTCATGCTTTTTTATATTTTTTGATAGGATGACAAACGAGCCACAGTCCACCTGATGGTAAGTGTGACCCATAGCCATCTACATCTATCCTCAATAAAGATTCAAAATGCAGATGCGTTATTACCCGTGAGGACTAAGATGGAATGTCTCTTTTCCAGTAAAAATTGTCTCCGGTTCTCTACACTCACCATATGAAACACAGCGGCATTGAGCTGCTATTTTACGCTGGTATTCTGTGAGAGCGTGGTCCTTCCCCAGTCGAGCCAACCCATTCGTGCCACAACTATACCACGTATAAAATAACTACAACCATAACACATGCTGCACAAATGAGTTGGCTTGGGCGGGGAATTAATTGTAAGTAATAAATTATAATCAATATATAATTATTTTAATTCAATGCGAGAGTTTTTGTTCCTTTTGTGAAAAATCTTTATAATTCATTTGGGCCCCCATTACACATTTTGATACAGAGCCCCTCTAAGGCACGCTACTCCACTGGTTGTATCATTCAAGACATTTTATTAAATTTAGGTGTACACGACAGCATCAAAGGAGGCCGTGTGGGCAGCATGCCACTAGTGGGAGCTCGACCACATAATTCTTCCTTGACTAAATTTTGTGCACAACAGCATCAAAGGTTGCTGTGCGGACAGTGGGGTCTCAATCATGATACACTTACTTTCCAAAAACAAATTTCCCCATCTACTGAATTGGGTTAAATATTCATCTGAATATCTGACATAATACACATAATGTTTCATAAAAAGTTGAATTAATTCCAGTTGTACCACTACTGCCATTATATTTTTTAATATTACATACCATCCAATGCAATATATTTCTTTATATTCACTAGATTTTATTGTACACCAAAGATTAACAAAAACAAAAATATACGCATTTTTAGGAAAGGTGGTCTTATTGCTCGACCCCAGCATTGGCAACTCTATGGATTTTTCCATAGATCTACAGAATTTTATCATCGTCTACGGAACTACGGAATTTGAGTTGATATCTACGGAATTTGAGTTCCAAGTTAGTTAATTTTTTTGTACGCAGTCATTTCAGAACATTTAGATTTTTAAAAACAACAAAATAACATGATTTTTATCATGAGTGTGAACTCAGCCGACAACTGACAATCGAAAACTTTAACAATCAATATCTTGTAATTTATAAAATAAACTAACAAAAGCCAGAAAAGAATGTATTTATGTAACTTTTAGCGAAGATGGTCCGTTGTTTTTCATTAGTCTAATTATTGCTTCTTTAGTCAAATTATTTAAATTTTTCAGCATCAAGTTTGTTTTTTAGTATCATCCACAAATATTTAAGTGTTAATTATTTTATTTGTTTTATTTTTACAAAAAAATAATTTATTTCAAAGAAAACAATCAATTATTAATCAATTTTTGGTACTTTTTCTTAAATGTGCAGCTTGATTCAATGTTATACTGCAATTGAACTTATAACAAGAATTATACATGAAAGAAAGAATTTCTCCAAAAGACAAAAACAAAAAAAATCGATCCTTTTAAAAAGTCTAGATATATGGATATTTTGAAATAGCATCTACAGAATTCTACTGACATTTTTATACCAATCTATGGATTTGGAAAAAATTGAATAGGTAACACTGCTCTTCACCAAAATAATTGGATACAGTGATGCCAAGTTAGGCGATTTCTCGCCTTTTAGGCTACTTTTAAAGGCACCCACACGCGCACGCACGCACGCACGCACGCACGCACGCACGCATGCACGCACGCATGCACGCACGCACGCACGCACGATTATCGGCTATATAATTCTCTCTCTTATTAAGTAAGTCTATTAGCATAAATAATAAAAAAAAACACTTTTTTAGACAGAGAAATATCAAAGAAGACTACATTATAACGTATCAGTGACCTAAGAAAATAGCAATTTAGGCTACTTCGGAAAAACAAGGGTGATTTTCGGCTATATAATTCTCTCTCTTATTAAGTAAGTCTATTAGCATAAATAATAATAAAACACTTTTTTACACAGAGAAATATCAAAGAAGACTACATTATAAGGTATCAATGACCTAAGAAAATAGCAATTTAGGCTACTTCGGAAAAACACAAGGGTGATTTTCGGCTATATAATTCTCTCTCTTATTAAGTAAATCTATTAGCATAAATAATTTAAAAAAAAAAAACACTTTTTTACACAGAGAAATATCAAAGAAGACTACATTATAACGTATCAGCGACCTAAGAAAATAGCAATTTAGGCTACTTCGGAAAAACACAAGGCTGATTTTCGGCTATATAATTCTCTCTCTTATTAAGTAAGTCTATTAGCATAAATAATAATAAAACACTTTTTTACACAGAGAAATATCAAAGAAGACTACATTATAAGGTATCAATGACCTAAGAAAATAGCAATTTAAGCTACTTCAGAAAAACACAAGGGTGATTTTCGGCTATATAATTTTCTCTCTTATTAAGTAAGTCTATTAGCATAAATAATAATAAAACACTTTTTTACACAGAGAAATATCAAAGAAAACTAGATTATAAGGTTTCAATGACCTAAGAAAATATCTTATATCCTTTCAGCTGCGGATGTCTAACACTTGGACACGAAAATATCTCAGTTGACTGCGGGTG